TGTTTAGTTAAAAAAGTGTGTTTATAAGTAGGAAGTAAGCAAAACTGACATCTAAGACAAAACGAGATTCTAACCAAAAGAGTAAGCTACAGTTTAACAAATTAAAATAAGAGATAACACAATAAAATAAATTTTCACTCTTTCTTTATATAGAAATTGCTACATAAGAGTTCACGACGTTAAGATAAATTGTTTGTTGAATTTCGAAATATATAGCGTTCGATTAACTCTTTTTAAAAACCCCTTTTTTTTTCGGTTAAACAGAAGAACACTTTTAGTTTTTAAATACGCTTTTTTCGACCCGAAATATTCGAATAGTATTACCTTGAAAACCATCCAAGCACTTGCAATTCTACTGGACTAGCGCTTGAACAAGTGCTTACCAAGTGAAAAATCAAGTACTTGCACGTTGGACAAGTACTTACAAGTAAATTTACTTCTGGAAAAAGACAAGTACCGGCTTCATTATGCAAGCAGAGTACTTGTCCCAGGTACTTGGGCACAAGTACGTGCTCTAGGGACTTTATGGTGCAAAACTTCTATCATTAGATATTCTTGGATCAATAATAGATTTTAATCAGATAGAAGAACCCGATGTGTGGTGTATTAAATATATATCAAGACATGAACTTGATAAATTAATAAAATATCTTCCTCGATTAAATTCTCTTAATATGGAATATAATCCGTTATTTGTTATACCATCAACAAATTCATACTCTTAGATTAGAAGATGATTCGGAATTAATATCGATTGATAATCTTTGTCATACAATACAAAATGTTAAAAATCTTGAAATTCCAATAAGAACAAAAGATCAAATGTTGAATATCATAGATCAATTTGTTCATGTTGATAATTTTGTTTATATGTGATAATTTTCAGAAAGATGAATATTTAGAATTTTTTACTGAAAAGTTAGATCTTCATTGGTTGGAAAATAATTCGTCTGGCCTCGGTATGAATCACTTTTCATTTCGACAAGGAGAAGAGTATCAATATATTCAAATGTCAATTGATGCTCCAAAAACTAAAACATATTCCGAATATCCCACATATATTGATTGAATAACTAAAATGATTATTTTCAGAAGATGTTTTGTATAAAAATAAAATCATTAGTAAAATCATTCTTTGACTAATGAAGACTATAAAATCATTATAAGAATAAGATGATTTTTAAAGCAGTAAATAACGTAGAGTTTTATTCACATTGATTCATGACTACTATCCACAATAAGGTAAAATAAATTCTTCGAACTGGAGATATCGATGAAATCTTGCTACACAAAAGATGATAGGTGAGTTTCTTGATAATTTGAGATATTCTTCATGAAACTGTCAAAAGAAGAATGATCACCATACAATAAGATTGTCAGCGTTTGCAAAACATTATCTTTATTCAAACGAAAGCAAATTTCTTTACTACTAAAAAGACACATGATGGTCAATAAGAATTTCAGTGAAAAATATCGAGCTGATGTTGTTGAAAAGTCTACTTGTAGAACAAATAGATAGCATATTCGTGATTTTGTAATAGAATCCTTTTCGAAATTGAAAAAATTATTCTAAAGCTTCCAATGCTAGTCACTTTGGATACCAGAGACATCAAAATTGTAAATTTATAAGGATATAGCAGTAAATTGAGCTAAAGCTCACAGATCTGCTCAGAATTTCTTTTAAAAAAAGTATATTTTAACAAAAAACCAGATTAAGCTACAGATGGACTTTTATTTTAAAATTAAATTAAATTATAAACAAGACATTAACGTTATTACTGTGCTTTTTCCAGACGGTGTTAGTACTAGCTTGAACGTAGTGGATGTTGATTATTCTAAATAGTAAATTAAATAATGTTTTACTACCGAAGACTAAGGTTAGAAGATTTAATAACTCAAAATCTCTAACTGACACATGTTGACCAAATATTATTCTTTCTCGACCCAATGAGTATCTGTGATCCTCTCTACGATACATATCATATTACTGTCTAGAATGTGTAGAAAGGGCTCGATATGCAAGACTGATGTAGATCACAGCATCATTTGCAAATATAGCAGATGTTTATCCTGATATTATACAAATGAGCTCGACTTTACATCAATGTTTTTGTATATGTACTTTTATGTGTTTATAAGTCGATGGACTTACCGCAGCTAAATTTTTGTATACGCCAATTATAAGTATCTGCTACATATATATTACCATTTGAATCAAATCTCATTCCAAATGGGGATTGCAGTTGATTTGGGCGGCTACCTCGCCCATCACTTCCTATTATTGTAATACCACTTGATGCGCCTGAAGCCCATTTTTGCACACGATCATTGAAGGTATCAAGGACATAAACGTTCTTTTGTGTGTCAACCGAAACTGTCATTGGTAAAGATAACTGATTAGGAGCACTACCTCCTCCATTTCCGCCTGCTACTGTTATACCGTTTTTAGCATCTTGTGCCCACATTTGAACACGATTATTATAATAGTCTGCTATATAAATATTAGCATCGTTGTCTAAATATATGCCCAGAGGAAATGTCAATTGATTTGAATTACGACCTTCACCATTTCCACCAGCAACAACAATACCCTCAGTTGCACCAGGCATCCATTTCATTACACGATTATTGTCTCTATCCGCTATGTATACATTTTCGTTTTCATCCACATAAATACCACGACAATTACTCAATTGATTGAGTGCTGATCCTTTTGAATTTCCTCCAGCAACTGTAACACCACTGGTGGCACCGTAAGCCCATTTTTGTACGCGAAAATTACCATTGTCAACAATGTATAAATTATTATTACGTACAAAAATGCCGATTGGATTTTTTAATTGATTCATATCAGAACCAAAACTTCCACCTGCTACAGTTATCGAATTTGTGGCATTAGGTAACCATTTTTGTATACTATTGGAATTGTCTGGCACATAAATATTACCGTCATTATCAATAAATACATCTTCAGGAAGATTAGCGCGTGCTACTCTTGTTCCAGTAGCATTCCATGAGCCCGATGGACATGCTATTACATTTCTCAAACCAACTTGTGCTTAAAAGTAAAAATAATCTTTATAATCCTAAGTATGGTTTAAATAAATCATCATTATTACAAAATAAGTTGGATTAAATAAGTATTTCTCCGGATGCGATTACCCTCCAAAACAAACCTTCTGTGCGAGCGGTAGGTATTAAAGGTTTTTTCGCAACCTCTTTTGCGCGACTGGTAATATAAAAGATTCTATACAAAATATTTTGGAGGAGAAGGACGACATGTCGCAAAATATTTTCTATAGAGCATTTTGGAGCTAAACTACATGTGATTTATAACGATTGTTAAATATGAAAGAAGACTACTACATTGTTAGTATATAGGCATCGTATTCTATTTGTATGCACTAAAGAGAAAGAATTTGAATCATTCTCAAACGTCACGTTTTTATTGTGAGCATATAATTTAGTTTTAACCTGTTAGAGTAGAGTTAAGACCGGATGATTGGATGGTCAACCAGAATACTATAATCGAAACAACGTCTATAGCGTTGGAAGTTTTTCAGAAACTTCCTGAAAAATCATGCGAAACAATCGATTTTGTATCAACAATCTTACTTTCTATTATTGCAAGACAGAATAATACAAAGTGTTTTATCATCCTACCATTTGCAATTTCACAAAAGAAATTTTTTAGATTTTTTCTAGATTCTTTTCAGAGATTTTCTATAGCTTAATACTAACTTAATACTTATATATTAAGACCTTGAAAACGATACGTTAAGTTGAATAAAGGGCTTAAGTTTAAGATCTAAATAATAAATGAAAAAATTCAATTTTCTCTCAAAAGCGACCACATATCACGCAGGCGAAAAATAATCGTTAGAAACGGCACGAAAAACGCGTTTTCTCCGAACGCGTTAGCGAACGATCGTTAAAAGAGCCGTTTAAACGCGTTTTTTGTCGTTCAGAAGTTTAGAATAACGCGTTCTTTGACGACAAGTTTGCTAACGATCGTTGTAGTGATCCAATTTTTTAATGAGTCCACTTTTAGATGGACGTTTTAAATTTCTATGGATACATGATTGTGTGTTATTATCTGATTTAACGAAACATAATGTTATTTCAACGATTAAACAATATATTATTGATGCATGCATAAAACTCAATTCAGAAAATAACATTACTGGTGATGATGTTCAAGTTATACCCAGAGAAGTCAGCAGTATTAATCCAGATACAACATTTCCTGATAAAGAAATAAAAAATGTTTATTTCCAACATTGACAGCTGGCTCATTCAAAAAAGCAAAGATTGATAATTCAACACCAAAATCAATCTCAGAAGAAATCGATGGTTTTCTGCAAGAAGAAAACTTAACAAGTAATCTTATTTTCAAAAAAGCAAGTTCCTATCGATCTCTCAATTGTTCAAGTTTTACACAAGCTAATGTTTGTGTTTTAACATCTCTAAAATGCAATAAGGCATTAATTTAAATTGTAAGTTTACTGTCCTAAGTATCATTGCGAACTGAATGCAATCGAAGGTCTTTGGCGCAATCAAAAGGCATTTGTGCGCTCACGTACAGATCAAAGCTTCGATAAAACGATAAAATTAATATCGGAATCATCAAAGTTAGAAATACTTCCGGCTATGGAAAATAATCTTCTACGGGCAAAATGTCTAAGATAATATATGACACGCTTTATCATCTAGGCACTACGATAAATATACCATTCGATAGAGAATTTCTCGCGCTATAATTTCATATATATAAAGCAGTGAAAAAGGTGTCCTATGGCATCTTGATATCAGAAATATTTTCAGCAAAGTCGTGACAAGTGGGCGACTTCTTCCACGATGAGGATCCTATGACCAACGTTTCTCAACTAGCCACTACGATAGATATACCATTCGATAGAGACTTTCACGAGCTTCAAAATGAGCTATAAATGAGTCTTTCAAAGATATGTCCACATGGGTCAATAGTCGAAATACTTGGTCGATGTCATTACAAAATTTGGTGCTTGCTCCGCGCTGAACCAAATTGGATAAAAATTAGGCGCTAAATGCAAAATTTGTCGGTGAATCCGACAGCGGGTTCACCGACAAAGGACACCGCCGGATAAGTAGCGATATCTGCCACCCTACGTTTTCATATTCTGAAGACATGGTCAGATAGAACTCACTCTGGCGAACATGAATATGATGTCAGAAACGTTCAGAACCACTTAGG